TATATATATATATATATATATATATATATATATATATATACACAACTGGTCAAAAGTATGAAATATGAAATAATGACTTTTTTATTGTTATTGTTATTATTTTATGCACCAAGGCTGCATTCGTTTGGTTAAAATACAGTAAAACAGTAATATTGTGAATATTTTCTGTTTTATACCTTTTTCTATTTTAGTATACTTTAAAATGTAATTTATTCCTGTGATGTAAAGCTGAGTTTTCAGCATCATTACTAAAGTGTCACGTGATCCTTCAGAAATCCTTCTATATATATATATAAAAAATTATATATTTTTTTCTGCTCACGTTGTTATACATTGAAAGGGGGGGATTCAAACATTGAAGACATCTTCAATGCTGTGTGAAGTCTCAGAGGCTCTGGTTGATTAACTTTGGTTAACCTGACACTGCTAGGGAAGGGGAGTTTGCGGTGTCTGGTTACTTGTGAAGGGAAATGGAGAGAGAGATGGAGGGACTGAGAGAGGCAAAGTGAGACAGGATGTCAGGAAATGACCGGAAGGAGAGTGGACGCTGTTCTCTCGTGAGATTTACAGCGCTCTTTTCTTGATATATTACCCAGCAAAAGTGAGAAATGCCACTGAAAACTATGGAGAAGCTCTTTGAAAACAGAAACTCTGTGTAAATGTTTGCTTCAGCTCTATGAAGTTGAAACCGAATATCAAGTGTGCCGTGAGTGATTAAGACAGAAACGAAATATCCACACAAGTAGCGTGAATCCATGCTAATAAATCTGTCTCTGGGCTCATGTTAGATTTGAACTCCAGAGTGATTATATTCCAGCACATTAACACTCAAAGTTGGCTGTATTATGAACACGTACGGGAATTTAAATTTAAATCAAGACAAATGAGTTGCAAAATGTTACAGCATCCCCAGATAAAATTGTGAATTGTGTGAATTGTGCTGTATGTTTAGGTTTAGGATGAAAAGTAAGTTATCAAGTAAGTTATGAAGTTAGTAAGTTATGAAGTTTAGGATGAAAAAACTAATTCACTAAATGCTGCTGTTTTTAAATCATATGGCTTTACTGATAACTTTTCTTGATAATACTTTACTGGGAGCCAAATATGATGCATCATGAAGTTCATAATGCCTTATAATTAAAAAGCCATTCATAATGCTTTAAACACTATATATATATATATATATATATATATATATATATATATATATATATATATATATATATATATATATAATGGATATTGGATAAAAAACCTAGTATACCAGTTGGTATGTTTCTGTTGTTGGTATGTGTCTGTTGTTTATGTTTCATTTGCATGTAGTAGCCTGTAGCATTTCATTGCTCTTTATGTCATAACTTGTATGTATGCCCCATATGAAGAGCTTACAGGCATTTCTGCATATACTGTGTGTGTGTGTGTTCGTGTGCTTGTGCACAGGCATGTCCACACGTCAGTTTGTGTGTGTTTGTGTATGCACGCTCCAGTAGGCATAGTGCCCACAGGATTAAACCCAGTCTCCATGCTGTCCTTCAGATTTAAACACTCAGGGTCATCCAGGGCTACAGCTGTGGTCATCTTGCATATAGAACAGCCTCAGTAACTCCATTTCCTCTGAGGGCGATACTCCTCGGAACAGTAACATTTTACGTTCAAATTTATCTAAATATATAAAGGAAAGGTCCTGTGACTGGACACTGTTTTTAATCAACATTTGTCTTCATTTAAAACAGTCCTGTATTGCTACAAATTACTGTATGTAACAATGAAAAAGAACAATAGCAATGTAAAGAATTAAATGTGAAAAAATGCTAATTGATAAGCAAAACTCACACTTCATGTTCTTGAGATATATATATATATATATATATATATATATATATACACACACTTTATTTACATATTTCAATGTAAAGCATGCAAACATACATGTATGTGTTTCTGTGCGTTGCTGTGGAGTGCTGAAATGATGTTTTAAAGTCACTCTGAAACACTGGTGCCGACGTTTACCTGGAGTCACTTCTGATTATGTTTTTTGTATTTTGCATTTTGATGATGCAAATATCCGGCTGTCATTGAAATCTAATGAATCATTGCAAGGAACAACATGGTGCACTGAACACAAGCTCATTCATTCACAAATACACATGTGTTCAAGTATGAGTGAACTCATCTGTCTAAACAGACTAACTACAGGTTTCACTCATGCTTGAGAAACGACGGGAAACAGGTTACTCTGAGGAGGAGTGGAAGTATTGGGCCGTCTGCTATGAGCACAATGAAAAACTGTAAGCCTGTTTGCAATAGAAACACAACCTATGTATTTATTAGTGGTGTTTGTTAAGCAAGCACTACTATTATTATGGGATTTGAACAACCATTAACCCTAAGTATTCAACTTTGGCGTGTTGCTCGATCAAAGATGAATGACAAACATTGCAAGTGAGCAGTGCGGTTTCTCCCATTCTAATCAATACAAACATGCAGACATGCCATGATGTGCTCAAATCTAGGGGCAACCTGCAATCACTAAGTTTTTTTTTCTCTTATCTCTCTCTCCCTTCTAAGTTTCAGACCAATTTTCTCTCTCTTTCTCTGCTTTCCCAAAAGTTTGAAGGGTCAAATACCAGAGGGACGGCTCCCGAGTCTGCTTTGGGGTTAAGGAGCCCCTCAGTGCTGTTTTAAGAGCCCAATTACTCCCATCAGGTGTGAGGAACTGCCTTCGCAGACGGGCTGATACAAACACACACACACACACACATGTGCCACGGGGAGTGTTTGTGTCCCAAGGTGAAGAAAAAGTGTGCTAAACAGTTTGAGCCGAGCTGTATTTCTAAAATGCCGACACTTCCGTGGGCTCAACGGGCATAAGTGAGTAATATAACGTGATATTAGTTGTGCTGATCAGTCTTGTAACTGAAGAAGAACAGAAAGAGAGAAAGCGAGGTAAGCCTGGGAGAATGAGGTGACCTCTGACCTCTATATGGAGCTAATCAGAGACAGAAAGAAGGAAACAAAGACAAAGAAATAGACATAAACGTAACTAACCTGGCTTCAGGTACACACACACACACCCAGAATACACATTCAGATTATGTGTGCTTCCAGTTTTGTTGATTATAATGGGAGTGATTTAGTTTTGATGTCATTCTTTATGGTTGTTTATGGCTGCCAAGCAACGTTTCAACTAGCCGCAATATTATAAAATGCAACCATTGTTGTGGTCACAGATGTGTATACATTTTATAGGGGCTTTGGATGTGGCTCATCCGAACATATTTAAAATGAATATACATGATATAAATTACAAAGAGTGAAGAAGCTGCACTGCTGCCATATATTTTCATTCATCTGTTAAATTTCAGTTTGTGTCCAACGAAACACACAAAACAAAACAAAACAAAACACAAAAAAAACACCAAAAAAAACAAGACAAAACAAAACAAAACACACAAAACAAAACAAAACAAAACACAAAACAAACAAAACAAACAAAACACACAAAACAAAACACAAAACAAAACAAAACACACAAAACACACAAAACAAAACACAAAACACACCAAACAAAACAAGAAA